GCGGCGGGCAATCAATAACAATAGATTGCAATTTGAAGTGTATTTGACAATTGTTCAAATATAACAAATTCGGAATAAATCAGTTTTGAACTATATAATAAATTTCAAATTTACAAAAACTTTATATTACATTTCATTCTCATCCAACTAAATGACAATAATAAAGTAACCCATAAATAAAGCAAAATACATTGTACCTGCATTCAACTTTTCTTCCCAGAGTTTGCAGCCAAAGAAATCCCCTCCACCTAAATACCAACAAAAAAGAACGATCAAATCATACAGAAAAATAAAAGAAAAGAAAACAGAACAGAACAGAACAATAGCCTGGATTTTCTATCAAGCTTTTACAAACTTAAACAGAAGAAAATCACATCAAAAGAAGGTTTGGGGAGCACGGAAGCAGCCATGTGGAGCCTCAATCAATTGCCCCACCTCCACAAATACAATCACATCTCATAGCCACCAAACACCTGTGATAACACGCATGATCTTGACTGAACGGATCTGATAAGATGTATCAAGAGCAAAAAAAAAAAAAGAAAAGCTTTAGGAAAAGAAAAAGACAACTCCCTCCTCCATCCTTTTATGCCTAGAGCAGAATCTAGTATGGCAGACAACTCAACCACTAGATACCAAAAGCTAAAGGACACTCTGGCTCTCACTTTCATTACCAGCTTCTCTGTTGAAATGATAGGTTTTGGCAAGCAATGCATGGCCATGCACTTGAAAAATAATTGGAAGATTTACATATATACCCCTCTTTTCGTATGTAATTACATATCTAACAGCTAAACTTCAATTTATTATGCATGAAAAGCTGTATTTTATTTTTTAAAAAATTAAAAATGGTGAGTTTTTTTTTTATGTGATGAAAGATTTTGATGGTATAAATGGAAAGAGTAAAGTTTAGATGTTAGATATGTAAATACATAGGAATTAGGTGATATGCATGTAAATGCCCAAAGAAAATTCGCTCAGAAAGGTATAATAAATACTGAAAGATTAATTAAATGCAAGTATTAATTGATGCTACACTTATCTTCATATAATTCACTAATCCTGAAGTGTCTTTAATGGTGATTTTGTCCTTTTTAATAGGATTTTTTTCGGGGATGGTTCAAGCCAATTTTTTTGGAAAGCTTTATGGTTTATTTGGGGCAGCTGCAACACATTAAAAAGCTGTTGCGCAAAAATTGTGTTAGGAAGCTGTTGCGCAGAAGTTGTTGTAGGGAAGTTGTGTTTATTTATTTTTGCAGTTGAGCAGCAGCTGTTTATGATAAAAAGATATTTCTGCGAAGTAATACTATAAGATATAATAGCAAGTACTAAGCTAAATAAGACCAAGACAATGGTAAGTCCAACAATACTAAAAGATATAATAGAAATTCCTAAACCAAGATCAATCTAACATAGAAAAAACACCCAAAATAAAATATTGTTTATACATCCTGATTCTCATAAAAGTAACATAGATAATTAACTCTACGATCAGGTGTCATCGACACAAAAAAGTCTTGCATAGTCAGATCTTATAACAATTTCATTCAGAATAAATAAAATGACACGTCCTCATATATTTTTGGAGTTTCTTACAGTATTAATAGAAGTTGCATGCAATGTGTCAGACTCGTTTGTGAAAGAAGCAACCAACTGTGAAATCTGGCTTCTTAAGAATACCATGCAATCTTTTTTAGTCATATCAGTTCTAGGATGTTTTGAACGAGTGGTGGATCCAACTTTATTTAAGTTGGGATTGGATCCTACATTCCAGTCAACAGTTTGTTCGGCATCTATAGGCTCAGCTCTGCTGGCATGTACTCTCTCACTAGGTGCCCATGCATGATCATTTGTGGTCATGACTCAACCAAACATTAGATCCAACTTCTCCTTAAGCTTAGAGTTAATGCCACTAAACTTGAAATTTTGGCATTTGGCATGACCTACAAGTTAATTGCTAATTGATATTAATTAATATGACATCAAAAAAGTTTAACAAAATTGGAAAGCAACAAACTTTGCATAATTTTTTTTATCTCCAATCTCTCAGCCCATCATTATTCTTAGGCATCAATGGTTCTCTTTATGAGAGCTCAACCTAAGCCTGTGGAGTCTCGCTTTAACTCTTTTCATATTTTTTAAACCTTTTTTAATTGATTTATTTTTCAGTTGCATTTTACCATATTCTTTTCCAGTACTTAAATTTTATTCTAATATTCTGTCATTCTTCCTTATCAAAATAGCTGTTTGGCCTATTTTCCAGTTTAACCTCTCTCAGGCATAGATCGCAGAAGATTAACTTCACTTCTTTATCCCACATAGCGGACAATCTGATTTCTTTGACTTACCCATTTAAACTACTAGTATGAAAAGAACCAATGAACATACTTTCACAAAACAAATAGTTACTCTGAAATGCATTTATCAAACAATAATTTGAACTCATCAAAACATGAATCAACCAAAAAATCAATCCACAACCCCCCATCCCTTTCTCAACATTTGAACAAGTAGTGGCAGCAAATTCTGAAAGCAAAAGATAAACTCTAATATGAAATTGGAAGCTGAACTATGGAAAGCTCACCATGTCACATGAGCATTCTTAACTATGGATTTTAGTAACCATGAACATAAGCAATGGCACCAAGTTTTGTGCTTTACAATTACAAAAATATTCGGTCCAAACGCCTTTCATTTCAGTAAACCTTAAACCATAAAGAGGAAATGCTGCATTGCCCGTGGCATCACAATCAAACTCCACATAAGAATATAAGAAAATAAATAATGCAGAAATCATAAATAAGAAATGAAATTCGAAGGTCATAGGAACATCTACTTCATAAGCTTTGTCACCAAAGTAATATTAATCCAAGGCCATAACTACAGACAGTTCGAATGCCAAAGCAACCCAAGAAATCAAAAGGCTTTGGTGTTGTTATTAACCTAAGGTCATAGCAACCATCTACTTCATGAGCTTTAGCAAAACATACACAGCACCCGAAACATTGCCATGAACAAATCCAGCACCATTTTTCATCTATTTTTCAAACTCTTGCTGTCATATCAAAATTCATGATAAAATCCCAACCCATATTCAAAACATACAGCACCTGAAACAATGCTATTAACAAATCCAGCACCTTTTTTCCACCATTTTTTAAATTCTCATTAAAATATCAAAATTAATAATAAAATTCTAGTCCACCATGTACATTACTTTACATTCACAACACCCGAAATATTGCTATTAACAAATTCAGCACCTACTTTCACCCATTTCTCAAATTCCCACTCAAATATGAAAATTCAAAATAAAATCCCATCCCCATGGGCATTGCATTCACAGCACCTGAAACAATGCTATTAACCAAGAAAGCAATCTACTTTCATCCAGTTATCAAATTCCCACTCAAATATCAAAATTCATGATAAAATCTCTACTCATATCTTTCAATAACAATTCCAGTACTAGAAACCGAATAAGGCAAAGCTGCCAAGAAGCAATATTTTGGAAGCTATGTATGTAATCATCACAAAACAAAAAAGAGGCGCAAGCCACCTGCCATACAGAGCAAAGAAACCAGGAAGCACTGCTTGGTGTGGTTGTGCTTGGTACGTAATTATCCCAATAATATCAAAACGAACAAAGCAGAGCCTCAAACAGAACATACCAAAGCCACCGAGAAGCTAATAATACCAAAACCAAACTAAAAACGCAAAACACAAACTGAACCAGAGCGAAGCCACTGGAAAATAGAATAGAAAAAAAAAAAGAGATATTTCTAGTGCTATGTATGTAAAAAACCAAAACGAACAGTTTACGGTGCAAACCATATTCCTAACATAACAAAGCTACCGAAAATAGAGAGGGTGAAGAAGATATCAGAGGAAGAAGAAACCAAACGCCGGGTTTCCCCGTCACGGGTGCCAAGGAACGAAGAAAAGCAAGAGAGGAGAATAAACCTTAGGCACCACGAAGGAAGCAGCAAATGCGGGATGAGGCCGAGTGAGGACACGGGTGTAATAGCAAACCGAAGGAAGCAGCACGTCTGAACTTATGAGGCATGTTTAATAAAATGCATCTGCGCTGCACGAAACGAACATTTGAAACAGCATTTAGCGAACGCGCCGCAGCCCTACCGTTGTGCCAAACGGCCCCTTACATTCCACTCAATTCCTACGTATTTACATATCAAACACCAAGGTTAATCTTGACATACAAACCACCTTAGCTATTCATGAAAATGTGTATTTTACTTTTTAAAAATTAAAATGACCATATTTAAGTATTTTTGATGTGATATGAAACATTAGGGTGGTATAAATGTGAAAAAAGTAATTTAGGTGCTAGATATGTAAATATATAGGAATAGGGTGGCATGAATATAAATGCCCCATTTTTTTCCCATGCACTCACTCATAAACCATATGTGAGGGAGAAGACGCAACTCACAGTAATAGTTCCCCGTGCAATGGCACATTCACCTCATCATCAATATCCTAATCTACTCTGCACATTGTTAAAACAATAACCAGTGCCTGTCCTTTTCCATTATAATGGACTCTCACTTCTGTCCACCGAGCTCAAGAAGAGCAAAACAGAATGGATCCTGAGTTCAAAAGGAAAAGATTGATGATCTTTGTTCGGAGCAGTTATGATTTACAGCCATGCAATATTGGTTTTAGAAAAAAGGCAAGCAAGTTCTAAAAATTGATTGGACTTAATATGCTTAATATGAAATGATCGTGCATGAGACAAAAAAAGGGGGCAATTACATACATACCACCCAATTTTTAACTATTTACATATGTAACACCTGTATTTTTTACATTTAGATCACCTAAATCCTTCACATCACTTCTTTGACTTCTAAAAGTGAAATTATTTTTTTCTTGAAATATTGCATTTCGCACTAAAAATAAAAAAAATTACAAAAGAATGCAAAGTATACAACTATGCATGTACAAAACGAGCCTTATCATTTCTAAGAATAGGAACAGGATCACTATAATCATTTACAAGTTTCAAAGAAAATTTTCTAAGGCTAAAGAAACACAAAAGTGAGCTTCCCTGTTGCCGTCACTCTTGATGTGAAGAAAAGGCACCAGTTTGAAAGAGGCCAAAGAGGCAATTTCCTGGCTAAGGCTGGGGTAACCTTCCCAAAATTTCCTAGTTGCCGAGTTACTCAAAAGCTGGATGATATTGATAGTTCCGCTTTCAATAATAGCACCCTTACATTCAAACATCCGTGGCTTCATGATTTGTTGGAGGGCAAGAAGAGCCTGTAGCTTGACCCTAGCAACGTCCTAATGCTCAAAATTGCGGCCCATAGCAGCAAGGCAGTTGCCTTGTTCATCTCCGATAATAGCACCTGTACCAACAATACCGGAAGATGAAAGCATACCATCAACATTAATCTTAATCCATCCAGGAGAAGAAGGGATGCCAAAAGGAGGAAGAAAACAACTGGTTAGGTTGCCTCGCATCCCACTGCCTCCAGAATGGAAAAATATGTGCATTGCTGAGGGCTTTAAGGATTGAGACAGCATATTAGTCGGGGTTTCATGCGCTTGTCCATGAACCTTTGCATTCCTAGCTCTCCAACAATGGTGAACAGCATAACAAAACAAACGAGCAAGGGAGATATCAGTGTGGCAAACCTGAGAAAGCCCTTGCAGAGCATCTGTTATACTAGCATAGTGTTGTAAAGAGAATCCCCAAACAGAAAGTAATTGTGTCACCGAACTGAGCAACAAACAATTAGACACGATATGGGATCTATTTTCAAGCTCTTGGCAGCCCCAGGGGCTGAGTAAAATCTCCGCAAGCCCACCCTTCACAAGCCACTTTTGGTTGGAATCGCATTATGAACCATCCACCACCAAAACATTCTTTCCCGAGGGTGCAAATAGAGTTTCTTGAGCAAGTTAAAATCCTCACTACTAACCGCAAATCTGGTTTCATAAGCTAGAACAGTGATATTATTCCCGTAATGTTCCGAAATCAGCTTTAAAATATCCTCTTAGCTCCCTAAAAATTGGGATCGGCAGGATGCGCGCTGCCATTTCCTCGCCAAAACAGTCTTTAACAAAATCCTGCTTCCATTGCCCATCAGCAATTAAAGCAGCAAGTTGAAGATTTTCGAAAATATTAACATTAAGAAAGGAAGGCCATTTGGCAAGGGGCCTATCATATATCCAAACATCATCATGTATACCGGTACTCTCCACATATTTAATTTTCCACCGGGTAATGGTCTTAAGAGCAGCAGCTCCATCGCAAATCACCTTCCAAGCAAAAGTAGTTCCTTTATAGTTTAGTTGCCAAATATTTCTTCCATACTTGCACTCAGGGCATTGCTGTAGAAGAGAAACTTGATCTTTGAAAAAATGCCAAACGATAAAGGTCCCTTCCATCTCTAGATGGCATGAAAGTGCAACCTCCAAGCAGCGTCGGTTGGCACATCTTTTCCCACGCAACATAGTGCAAAAATTTTCGGTTTGGGTTCTTTCGCTAAAGAAAACTTTTGCAACTACATTGAAACTCCTGCAGCACAATCATGGGAACGATTTTGGAATTAGCTTTATGTAGCAATCTATCAAAATCTTTCTTGTAAAGTTGACGCAAGGCCAAACAAACACAGATTTTCTAGCTCCTCGACCTCTTAAAATTTTAGTAATCCTTCTTTTCCAAGGAATTGTAGCTCTACTGAAGAGAATGGCAAACTTCATCTTATTAATCCTTTGCTCGGTCCTCTCACAATAACCGGCAAGAATATTGGATAAGAGTTTAGCAGCTATAGCAAACACTTTGAAAAAAGAATAATATCATCTCCATATGGCAGATTAGAAATACGGGGAAGTTGCTGGCAAGTGTCACTCCAATATGGTGTGCCCATTGAGCCAGAACAAGGGAGAGCATTTCCGAGCAAATAATAAAAAGATGTGGTGATAGCGGACATCCTTGCCAAAACCCACAACCGGCCATATGTGGCAATTGTTTGCCATTTATCAAAAGCGTAAAGCAAGGATGTTCAACACAACTCAGCACTCATTTAACAAAGACCTCCGGGAAGCCCCCATCTATAGAGCGCCTTCTTGAGAGTTTGCCAACTCATAGCCTTCTCCATATCAATCTTGATGGTCATAAGGCCCGAATTTGCAGTAAAATGCTTAAGCTTGTTAATCATCTCTTGGGAAAGAAGGCAATGATCTGAAATGGAGCGATTCGGAACAAAGGCACCTTATTTAGGAGAAATAAGAAGCGGGAGTGCACCTTTAAGACGATTGACCAAAATCTTGACAACCACTTTATATATAATTTGACACAAACTATTAGGACGAAAAAGTTTTTGAACATCGACATTCTCAAATTTGGGAATTATCACAATGAATGAATGCTTCCATTGATTGGGGTGGAGAAGAATTCATGAATCTCTTGTAGAACCTATTTGGAAATAATCACCCAAAAATTCTTGTAGAAAGAAGGGGTGATGCCATGAAACCCAGGCACTTTGTTATGACTCATTTGCGTAAGAGCTTTCCAAATCTCTGCATCCGACACCTCCATGACCAATTGATTGTTCAAACCAAAAGTTAAGTACTGACAAATATAAATCGTATAATATCAAGGGATCATCTGGTTTTGTGATCAAACTGTGACCTGAGAACTACGCTCCCTCCACACATGATGTTGTGGTGAAGACCTTACTCCATCCAGTATCATTATCTAGGAGGCGAGAGTGGAGACCCAAGGCAGCGGTCCCATCACCAGAAAGACAACCCATAGATGATGTTTGAGAAACAAGAGACTGTCGGTGTTAGTGCGGACAGCACAAGGCAATATGGTATGTCAATGCCCAGAGAGTGTGGAGACTCCCCATGGAAGAGATTTTGGATTAGCTCAGGGCAAATATAAGGGAAATCAAAGAAGAACAATTTGTTGAAAAGAAAAGGTAAGTAATCAGAGAACAAGAAAATTATGGGGGAGACTTAAGGAGGACCGTACAATGACATTATGGATGAAGAGTATGTGACAGTCAACATCGTGGAAACTCGCACTTCATCTACCTAACGAGAGCAACAAAAGGTGGTCAACGAGGAAGAAAATCAAGGGGAATCAATGCAACACTTCTTGCAATAGATGAAACAAAAATATGAACAAATTATTCGATTGGAAAAGATGGAATAAACAATTATTGTATTGTCGACATTGCATAGTCAACCTCTGTCCCCGCGAGTACAGCCGATAGAGGTGAATCAGCCCGAGTCATTTAGATTGTTGAGAATAAGAAACCCGCAACCGACAGTGAAGACAATCAACCCACAAAGAAAATTATTGAAGTTATTATAGTTCAAGAAAAGAACATTAAGCAGAAGATGAAACAACAAGTTAGGGAGGTTTTGGCCCAGTCCAAGGGTGGGGCATCAATTCTAAAAGGTAGGCCTTATCTCGAAGAGTTTATTGTCGTGCAATATCTTAAAGGATTTGTTCCTCCTTTTAAAGCTTTTAGATGGAACGAGCAATACTCGACAACAAATTTCACACTTTATGGCAAGTTACAATGTCGAAGAAAGTGATACTCTTCTCTTCAAACAGTCTGTCAGTAGCTAGTCCGAGGTGGCATTTGACTAGTATGCAGAGTTATCGAATGGCTCTGCTAAGACATTCACATAACTGGAAAGTCTATTAATCAAAAGGTTTGCTGGTGCCCAACATCATATTACCGATGGTGATATGGTCGTTGAGAAACATAAACCTAATGAGACATTGGTCGATCACATTCTACGATAGAAAAATTTAGGCAAGAAATGTGAGTCACGGCTTCAAGAACAACATATGATCCAAACCCTCAATAGTATCCACGGACCAATAATTTTTTTACTAAAAGGATTTACCATGAAGACATTTAAAAAGTTACTTAGCAAGGAGGAGGCAAAAAACTGACATTTCGAGACAAGTCTGATGAGTCCAAGAAGCCAAATCCCCAGAAGATATCCAAGAACAAATCAAGGACAGTGTTGACAGTAGATAAAGGAAAGCATCCAATGAAGATACAACCCAAACAACACCCTTAGTCACCTCAAGAGTATCAACTGCAACTGCATCAAAATTATAAGCCATATCAACCACCTAAATAGTATCAACAATAATTTCAGTAATGCCAGCAACCCACACAATATTATTCCCAGTTACAAACATGACATCAGAGACCCGAAGGGGTGCAATGTATCCCTCTCAAGGACAGACTCAACCACATCTACCCAAAAAGACAAAAGCAGTGGGGAAGATGTTCAAAAGTCTGATAAAAAAATCATAATTTAAGTTACTAGAACCTAATAGAAGACAGGATAAAGGATCATCTGATATATTCCTGAAAGAATACTTAATAAACCTGGACAAGGATCTATTATAGTTTCCAGGGTCTATTAGAGTAATTTCGGTTGATACAACAGCTCCATTTGATCCCTTCAAGATCGACAACAGCTAGGACCTGGTGTTGTCCAATACATCTAAGAGAGTCCTTCGTAAACTTCGAGGCCTTCTACCATGAGCATCTAATAAAGCTCAAGAGCCTACCAAGTAGGTTATCTTGATTGTTCTAGAGGAGAGCTCATTGGTAGAGCTGAAGGAAACACCTAAAGACCTTAACAAGGAGAACGATTGATTGGGGACTGCTAGTGCATCAATTGTATCGGACGAAGGTGTGTAGCCTCTCATTCCGCTGGTTCTGTATGATTTATGTTTCGTTCCTCCTGAAATCAATAATGCTAAGAGTCTCGATTTTGGACTTGTCTTGTCTATTTCTGATAAAAATGTTATTGATGACGTCGATAACATTCAACTCAATTTTAATCGAAATCTCAGCCTTGAAAACAATTCTCAAACTACCTCTGCTCGCAATGGGTAGATCGAGGAAGATGATTCTAGTTCTGATAGTAATGCCCTTATCTTTCATTTTTAAGGTGCTTCTATCGCAATTGAACTGGAACTCACAGATTGTGAAGGATCTATTAAGTAAGCTTTTGGTGCTACTAAAGAGCCGGTAGATGTGTAGAAGATAACCAAAGTTAACTTTTGCAGTGGCAAGAAACTACCCTTTGAATGACACCTAAGGATATGCAAAACAGGTCATGGCTTCACATGATCCAGTTCCCTCTACAAGTGACATTACTTCTCAAAAAGAATATGTGGAGTTACAATCCAAAGTGGACTACAATGTGTTCAATCATTTGAGGAAACAACCAACTAAACTCAGTATTTATGATTACGGGTAAGTTAAGCCGGCTAAAGCTTGGCTTGATAGGTGGCATGTGAACTGAACTCGCTAACAAGTCAAGCTCAAGCTAACCCCAACTCGACTCGTTAGCTTGTGAACTGGCTCGTTAAAAAAAATATTAATATAAAACATACCAAATTTTATTAATTTTGAAAATTTTATCTTTAAAGTAATTAAAAAGTTTTAAAAGTAATATTTTCTATTTAATATTAAGCGATTTCTTATTATTTTTCTCATAATTGCTCGTTTAATTAGTCATTTTAGTATAACACGGGCTTAAATTAATATTATTTTCTCTATTTTATAATAAACAAGTAGGCTCGTGAGCCGACTCAAACTCATAGACTTAAGCTTGAGCTCGATAAAATTAATCAACTCATGCTCAAGCCAAGGGTGGCTCGAGCTCGACTCATTTACACTCTTATTTACTATGCCCTGATCTTTTCAAAGAAAATGGGCAAGTCATTAGTGAAATTCTTATTATATCCTAAGATCTACTGACCCAATTAGCTTATACTTCCTCGGATGAGGCACGCTACTTCAAGGAAATTCACAAGATGATGTTTTTGGAAGAAAACTTACTACTTAGTATGTCAGATTATAACCGTCCACTTTACATCCATGTAAAGGAAGACAAGTTTATGTTGTCTAGAGTTTTTGTTGATTTGGGTGCCTCGATCATCATAATGAATTTGAGAGCTCTGTCATACCTTGACATCGATGCTTCTATGCTGACTTCTGACAAAATGATGTCATGTGCCTTTAATGAAAAGGGCAAAAGCGTTGTTGGTCTATAACCTGTTTGTTGAAGAAATGTACTTGGCGTCCAGCACAAATTCCACATTATAGATTCAGGGATTTCTTTCAATGTGTTTATGGGTCGATTGTGCACTAATGATTGACAGAAAAATGCCAAAGTTTGAAATATCCCTTGAAAATGAGGATAAAGAAAAAGATGAAAATAAGACGATGTACGAGAAGATAATCAATATATGTAGGCTTTGACTCTGACCTCACTATCTTCGGAAAAGTTCGAGGGGTTGGAGGTCAAAGAAGCACACAGAGGCGACGACAAGCAGATCAAGTTTTATATTAATCTTCTTCCTCTAGTTTCGAACCATATGTACAACTAGAGGAAGACACATCCCAGGGATTAATGGAACTCCCCATTGACCGGTATTTTCTTGTGTTCGAAATCTTGCTAAACAGAGTCTGATACCACGTCACTGGTCTAAAGACAAATCACACAGCTTCAAAAAACTATATG